GGCGGAGCGGGACAAAAATACCATCAGAACTTGGAGCTTTTTTCTGCCTATAACGCTGAAAGACCTTATTTACATCCTCCTCTGTACATAGTTAGTAGCTTTTTAGCAGGTTGGTTTCACTTCCCTAATATCCCCTCACATAAGAAAAATCCACTTATTGTTATCAAATATGCAAAGGGGCTCGATCTGTACAGGTCCTTACAATAACTGATGACTGATATCATAGCATCAGAAAGTTGGTTTAAATCTGAAGCTGAAGCTTAAACAACATTACAACCTGGGTCTCAAAAGCACTCCTACTTTAGGTATGTATGTTTATGTACATATATGTATATATATATATATATATACCTCATTCAGATATCAACTATCAAACTTAAAAGTTGTTATTAATTTGTACATTTTCAGATTTAAAATAAGGGTAGTCCTGTTTCTCTGACTGTGACCGGCTGGATGTGCTCACTTCATCCTCTGACATGGGAGTAGAGACTGACATTTTTTTGGCAATCCCACGGGTCACGGGATTCCCGTGGGATTCCCGTGGGCTGGGAGTCAGTATTAGTAACGATCACGTGATTGGGACGGTACAGGATTAAACATTAACGGGAGCAGATGGGAGTGGGAGCAAACTAATAGTAACAAAAAAAAAACTAGGATCGATGCCAAAAAATAAAATTAAATAGAAAGAAAAAAAATCCAGTACTGGCGCCGCCATTTTGTAGTTTTTTTCCCTGAAGCCTACACTATTATGCGAGTCAAAAAAACTACACGACCCAAAAACCAACAGTGCTTCTGCTCTGCGTTTTTCACCTGCGCTCAAAAACAACAATGGAGGGACCAACAGTTAGTGGCGAACCCGACTTAGAAAAGTTTGATTTGCAACGCAAGCTGAATGGGAGTGGTGCAGGAGCGGGAGTCATTCTGAATGGGAGTGGGAGTAATTTCACAAGGAGTGGGACGGGACAGGATTCAGATTTCTACTCTGGTCTGGGATCGGGACGGGACGAAATTTTTTCTGTGGGAGTGGGACGGGACAGGAGTGAAAATCCACTCCCGTGTCAGTCTCTACATGGGAGCTGACTCGGAGCTCGTCTGCCTGGCTGTGCGTTTCCTGGATGGAGCCGCCTTTTACAGTTGCTTTTTGTATCTCTTCTTCTGTCTCCTTGAACCCCAGTCGGCCTCAAAAGATGGCCGCTCACACTGAGCCTGGTTCTAATGGAGGTTTCTTCCTGTTCGGATAGAGTTTTTCCTCTCCACTGTCGCTACAAGCATGCTTAGTGTGAGGGATTTCCTGCAAGTCAATGAGTCGATGCAATCAACTGGTTTTCCTTAGATAGAAAACTTTGAATCAATCTGACTGGATGATCTTGTGAATTGGTGCTATATAAATAAACTGAATTGAATTGAATTAAAATCAGTTTGCAGCATCAGCAATCACTCTTCTACAGAGGTACATCGGTATTAGGTGCTTTCCATGCTCTTTTCAATCTAAGGTCAACCTAATGCCATGGAGACATTAGAGATGCTCTGTTCAGTATATTTTCAAATAACTCAATAAAAGTTGAATAAATCTCAAAACATTTAGGTTTAACAATTCTCTGTATTACTCAATAATGATCAGTCTGAATAAAGGATAATAAATGTTGGAAGTGTAGTAAATAGGTGGGTAAACTTCTCCATGCACTATGGGATTGCCCCTTGATAATGCCCCTTTGGAAGGTAGTTTAAAACACTTCCTATTTCTTTAATCTGGAAAAACAAAGAAAAACAAAGGAAAATTAATAAGTTACCTTATTAATTAACTATACCATTTTTATTAAAGTTAACTTTTATAAAAACGGTATATGTCCAAATTTTCAGTAGACCATTGTCAAATATTTTTTGAAAAATTGGGAAATATAGAGAAAAAAAACTAATGGGAATTTTAAGCAACTTTTGGCTTACAACCTCAAAATTGAAGAGCTGGATTTAGAAATTGCAAAAATGTCAAAAGGAAAATCCTGCGGACTGGATGGCGTAACAATAGAGTTTTATATCCATGTTTGGAATGATATCACACTACTGCTTTATAATATCCTGCTGGAATGCATTTCATCTGGTCAGCTGTGCCCTACAATGAAAAGAGGTGTTATAACCCTAATTCCAAAGATGAATAAAGATTGATTGTTATTAGATAATTGTAGGCCAATAACACTACTATGCAACGACTACCGGTATAAATTGCTCACATCTACTCTAATAGATTGGATATGAGATTATCAAAACTAGTGAAAGGTAAAGTTATACATAACCATGCTAGACTAATTATTGACCTATTAGATTATAAAGACTTTATTCCTACAAATAGCTAAATATTGTTCTTAGACTTTTTTTAAAGCCTTTGACACATTTAAACAGCCCTTTTTGCGAGAAACTTTACACTTTTTGGGTTTTGGAAGCACATTTTGTGGAATAGTTAAAATGCTCTACACTGACATCAGTAGCACGGTCTAAACCCAGGAATAACTCCTGGATTTGAGATTTCATGCAAAGTCAGACAGGGTTGTCCCATTTCCCCAAAGCTTTTTTAATTTTTTTATTTTAGCAACACAGCTGCTCGCTTTGTTAATTAAAAACTCCAATGACACACAAGGTCTCGCAATTTTCCATAGAGAATTTAGAATACGCCAATTTGCAGATGATACCTGTATCTTTTTAAAAGATAAATCAATGATTGATAAAGCCCTCAGTACTTTTTTCCATCTACTCTGTAGCGTCTGGTTTATCTCTTAATATCAAAAAATGCAAACTACTCCCTATTCATACAAGTCCTGATCCCTCCGTTGCCCCAATTCAAGTTGTAACTGAAGTTAAATACCAAGCGCTGACAATATCAAAAAACTTAATTAGAAGAGAAGATACAAATACTTGAAATCATATTTTGGATTTGAAAAAAGGCCTTAGTCACTGGTTAACAAGATACCTTGCTGTATTTGGCAGAACTACTCTGTCCAAAATGGAAGTTATCTCCAAACTGATCTATCCCTGCCACTCCTTGTTTATTTCCTCTAAAAACACGAGTAAAGCAAACACAAAAATCTTCTAATTTTTATGGAGGAATAAAACGCATTACATCAAAAAATCTCAGTGGGTGAAAGAATATAATAAAGGTGGTATTAAAACTCCAGATACTGAATCACTGGTTGGTACCTTCTGAATTAACTGGATCAAATCTTATATGCTGCACCTGAATTCTATGTGGTATCACATTCCAAGATCCTTGTTTGATAAATTAGGAGGTTTAGACTTTATTCTAAAATGTGATTTTGAGGTAAAAGGATTCCAATCAAGCTGTCCAACTTCCACAGCAGATTTTGCATGATTGGAAAATAATTTCCACCAACAGCTTTTCTCCCCATGGCCCTACCCTATGGAACAATAAAGTAATAACAATTAATCATAAATCTATCTTTGAAAAGACATTATTTATGTTACAGATTTATTTAATGATAACACAGATATTTTAAATTATTTAGATTTTAAAAAATGATGTAAATTTTTCTCTAAGGGAGTATAACAAACTGTGTAAATCGATTCCACTGCTGATAATTCACTTGATTAAAAATTCCAGGTTATAAAATAATTACCCACCAATATCGCCCAGCTTTTTGATTCCACAATACAATCTATTTGATAAACAAAAATGCAATAATAAATTCATTAACAGCTTTTTGAAAGCCAAAAAATGTCATGATTATGATAGATTTACTTGGAAGAGATATATTCCTGTTAGTTCAGATACAGCTGATAAAGCATTCTCAAAATTTGTTAAATGGCCCATTCTACCTAAAGTCAAAGAAACGTGTTTTAAAGTTATAAACAAAATTCATCCTGTGGCAGAATAAAAAAAAAATAATAGAATTGTAGAAAGAAAATTATTGTAATTTTATTAATAGTGAAACTCTTGATCATATGTTTTACCTGTGTCCTCCTACACATCGCTTCTGGAAAGAGATGAAAGATTGAAGTTCTTTGAAAATTAATGATTTGCCTCAATTTGCTCTAAATGATGTCATTCTTTATTGGGACCATCTTCCTTTGCCTGTTTCTGATACTATGAATATCATCCTGCTGTTGGGTAAATATCATATCCACTGTGCTAAATGGAGAAATGTAAACCTTCCTTTCATTGCTTTATTAATGACTTTAAAACCTTGTATTCCTTTTATCTCCTCTTTGTTTATTCTTTTCTCCTTTGTTTCTGTTTTTCCTTTCCTGTTCTACATACATTGCAGTGTCCATATAATCTGTAAAACTCCCTGCATAATTATAATAAAGCAATTTCTATGCATAAATCAAGCGGAACACTATGGCGATAGCCGTACTGCTACACTTGTGAAAGTAAAATCTGTTGGGCTCTTTTTGGCATCAAGACAATTATTCTTATTGCCACATTGCCAGACAGGACACAGTAAAAACAAAAAACAAACAAACTTTTTTCTTTTAAAAAGATAAAAAAAAAAAGGACAAATATGCCAAAAAGTGAGTCTTAAATTCTCCCATCATCTGTTATTCTAATTGCATCCACCTTTTTTTTTGTTTTTCAAAGTTCTCTGGCTCTTTCTATGTTTTATTTAAATGTTTGTTTAAATAAATCCACTGCTATTAACCTTCCTCTGTTCGTGTACACTTTTGTCATCTTCTTTGAGGGTATTTTTTCATGTAAATGTCAATGTCTTAATAAAAAAAAACAGAAAGAATTTTAAGGCATTCGTTTTCTCATGAAATACATTATTAACCTTTAACACGTTATATTTTAGTACGTTTATAATTTTTGGGGAAGGAAAACGTAATATAGGTCTTTTTAACCAAATAAAATCGAGGACGACCCGGATGTATATCTGGATGCACAAATGAGCTGAAGGCGCATGCGCAGAACGGATCGTGTTTCCAGGATGGATTGGGTGGTGTTTTCCATCTATGTTTTCCATGGTGTTTTCCTCCCAGGCTGATCTGTCCAGTAGATGGCAGTAGTGTTCATGGTACCGGGTTTTCGCGTTTACTCCATGCAGTTTTCTGTGCAGTAGAAGAAGAATGCGTTAGAGGACTTCCTGGATGCTCGGATGTGAATGTAAACACAGAAATGTCGCAGTCTCCAGACAGCAGAAGCCTTTTGTCCGCTTCTTCGCAACTCAACCTCATGGAAGTAGAATCGGTGAGAGAAGCTGGTTCTGTTCTGCTTCAGTTCGGAGCCAAACATAAACCCAAAGATTCAGCTGGCTGTTACAGGCAGTGATGGACAGGTGTCTGTTTAATTTGGGATTTTATAAACCTGGATGCGTGATGGTTCCCCTCAGATTACATCATAGATATAAAACATATTCAATTAGGAATAAAACTCTGTTTTCTGGATGAAGTAGGGATCAAATCATCAAAGTTTCCTCGTCATCATCCTGTTCCCAATCTTCTGTCGTTTCCCCATTTTTAGCAGCATTTTTTTACTCTGTAGAAACCAGATTTTATAAACCCAGAAGTCAGAGTCCATTTCGGCCCAAACGGACCACTGAATAATATGCTAATCCAGAATTAGCTGCAAGAGAAGCTTTCTGCGGTGTTAGAAGAAGCTAATCCATATAGTCCAGCCCTAAGCTCCTATCTATGGAGGACCAATCCTGCCATAATTAAAAACACATACAGAAATAAATGAAGGACTTAATAATATAAAAATATTGAAAAAGTGGCTAATAATATGAATTTGTGTGCCATTAAATGTGACAAAAAAGTAAAAATAAGATATTTCTTTATCAATTGATCAATTATTCTTCAAAAAATATAGATTTCCACTTTTATTTTTACTTTTCTTCTTACATTTATGATGACTTATTTTTAAGACCTCCATATTAATCCCACCATCCAGTCTGAAACATCTGGTTACAAGCCAGCAGATCCTGTTGCTGCCTCTAGATCAGGAGTCTTCAACGTTTTCCAGGCGGAGGACCCCAAAACTAATGGCTAGATGGAGTGGGAATGCCCTAATATTGTATGAAAATATGTTCTATCAAACTGGTCCTATAGTCACTCTATTACAGATGGAGTAATGTAACTAAAGTAATCCCTCCCTGGGATTATTAAAGTATTTGTGATTCCTGGTTGATGGGACAGGTGTTGTGAATGAAACGGTGCCCAGCTTGAAAGAGCTCCTGTGTGTCGCTGAATGTGAGCATTGATGACTGAAAGACATCTTCTGCCTCCATTTATCTGTTTACTACAGTGTGTTGAATTCATGTTAATGTGGATTTAAAGACATTTCAATTAGTGGAAGAAATTTCAGGGGCTAATATAAAAAAAACTTATTCAACCTAAACTTTTGGTACCCCCATGCAGTACCTCTGTGGACCCCCTGTTTAAGAATAAAGCCATATGTCATGCAAAAAGATGTGTCACAGATTACAACATAAAAGTTGCTTCTAATCCTCTTGTTTCTGTTTGGTATTTTCCTTTTTTTTATGTTTTTTTCTTAGATTGACGATAAGGAGTTTGACATCCCCCAAGTGGACACGCCTCCCACCCTGGAGAGCATCCTCAGTCAGGTCAATTACGCCTCAGTTATCTCCTTTCATCCAGCTTTCCTTCATCTCTCAGAACATAAAAACTGCCTCCCAGCTTTGGAAAACTTTTCTGAGTTAAGGTCACCTAAAAGTTCAAGCCATACGTAGATCCAACAGATTAGCTTGAAACACGTCAGAGTCGAGTATCTACAGGACAAGTGGAAGAAACTGGTGGAAAGTCCTGCTAGTAGATCCCATTTAGGAGAACTGGTATGGTTCCATTCCAACCAGCGACCCGGTGGATGTTAAGTGGGGTAATAACTCAGAAAGCATAAAATTCCTCTGGTACAACTTTTTCCACTATAGACATGTTAGACATCATTGGAAAGCTTAGATTCTCCACTATTCAACCATCAAGTTCATTTTATGGACACAGCGAGCACCAAAGCACAATTAAAACAGATACAGCAGCATGTAAAAATATAAACAAAGCAGCCACAACTACATACATTTGAAGGCATCCAGAAGCCGTTTTATAAATCCAATATTTAATTGTTTATTCTCAATTTGTCGATTAGGGACCACAGATTAAAAATAATCTAGCATATTAGTAATAAATATATTCCATGATGAGAAAATCTCTCATAACGTCCCGTTGTTGACATCAGAAAGGTTAGCTGGTAACAGCTTATTCTCAGCATCTTGCTAATATTTACTTCTAAAAATTACTTCCTTGGTGTTTAGCCGGCGTTGTTTGGTATGATTCTTTACATCGTCTTTTTATCTACCAGACACTAGTGTCTGCATATTTTTATGATGCGATTTGAGCGAGATATAGTCCCCACAATCTCACCTCGAGTTCACTTCCTGTCAGCAAGTGGCGTGCAATATGATTGATGTTAAGATTCTCTGCTGTAATTGGTTAAGACCATGTGGGTGTTGGGGTTTGTAGCCAATGAAATAAGGTTTCAAACAAACCCAAATGTGTGTAGTTTATTTAAAGGGGTACCGCATTAAAGGCTTGTGTTTGGGAGAAACCCCATTGAGTGCAGCTCCAAGCTGACACCAAAATTTCAAAGCCCCACAGCTCTGGAACTGTTAAAGCTAGAGGTCTGAAATTTTCTGAATTTCTGGTTAACATGATGTAGAACAAATCTAATACAATGAGACAGGCCTTTTTTCAAGAATGTCTTTATTACTGCTGTTCAAAAAAGTCCCATAATTTCCGAGAATAAAAACCACCAACTTTGAGTCATGTTTGAACTGATGCAGCTTGGTCTGTGTTCTACTCACCCAATTTTAATTTAGATATTCATCAAATAGAGGGTGTTAGCTTTCAAGTAATGTAATTTAATTTTGGGCTTACAGTTGTTAAGTTATTTGCTTTTCCATTTGGGTATGCAAAATAGGCGAGGATTACCCAAAATGAGGTGAATGTTAAGAGGATAAAAAATAAATTCAGTTTATCTACCAGGATATATGAGGAGATATCTTTATGAGAATAATCACAGTGACACCAATTAAGAATGTGTATAATTTATTTAGTGTATGTAATACAAATCTAGATGAATGAATGAATAACTATTGGTCACAAATCACCAGGATATATAAGGAGGAATCCACTAATAGCCTTTAAATGGTTGGAAAACTCTTTCTTATATCCTCAGATTCCACCAGTTGACTTTCTGTCTTTCATTTCTTCTGCTCTTCCTGCCCCCAAACCTCCCTGGTTTATATATATTGAACCCCACCTCCATGTTTTTACTGGTTCTGGGCCTGCTGAAGGCAAAATATTCACCAAAAGAAATAAAACGCTCCAGTAAATTTGACCTTCCAAGTTTCTTCCGGAAGAAAATTCCAACGTCTGCCGCTGCCTGGTTCTCCTTCCACCTTCAGCTTGAACTCCGTAGTTTGATCTAGGCGGAGCTTAACTTGTTTTTTTTCTCCCCTGTGTGTTACAGATGGAGGAAGAGGAGGAGCCGTTTGTTTTGGAGGACACGTGCATTTTAAACACGGACAACATGGATGCTCAGTCCTGTGATACGTCCTCCTTGGCCAGCTCGGACAGCGGAGACCCTGCGCACCTCAAACGGCATGAACACACACAGAAACCTGCCCTGTTTGAAAGTGCTCTAAACCTGCTTCCACCCATCAGCCATAACAGTATGACCTCTGACAGGTAAACTGAACTTCCTCCTTAGACTAATTGGTCAATAGGAAGGCTGAACTCATAGAGTTGCCTCCACTGATTAAGTTTATACAGCATCTGATTGAATTAAAACAGAAGCAACGTTAAGTTTGAATGTTTGAAAAGGGAATGTCTTCAGTAGAGCTGTAACTAACGATTATTTTGCAAATCGATTAATCTTTTGATTCATCTTAAGATTAATAATCAGACAGCCAAAGGTTCCTTAAAGAACACTTTTTTCTTAGATTAAACCAGGTGAAACTAAAACTATTCCACTTGAGGAGTTCTGGATAGAGCAGATTGACAGAACAAACATGTTTTTATCTTAAATGCAAAATGTTTACATGGTTTTTTTTCCAATTTTGATATAACCGGGATTTAAACTGCAGGTTTCCCACGTTGTATGAGATATTTACAAATAAAGATATTACACGTGAGCTTTTTTTTAATGTTCAATGTAATCCGTATGATAAAACAAACAAATACGATACATATTATGAATGCTTTTTTTTTTCAAACTACCTGTAACACATTTAAATATATGTATGTGTCGGTAACACATAGTTTTAATTGAGCAACGCACAGAACATTGCAGCTGACCAGGAAAAGTCATTAAGCACTTTCTTCTTCCTCCTGCGCACTAAAACCCTCAAAGTCCTCTTCCTCGGTGTCTGAATGGAACAGCTTCAGGATGCTGTCACTGACTTCAGTCTCATCCTTGTCCCAAAAACCTGTATTAGCCACACTGTATTATAGGCCGCAGTGTTCAAACAGCGGGAAAAAAGTAGCGGCTTATAGTCCGGAATTTACGGTAGTTGTTTCAGCCCTATTCTGCAGAGATCAGGAACACAGAGGTTCTGGTGCTAAGGCGCTCACAGGCTCCCATTACCAGGCAGGTAGTCATAATGTTATGGCTGATCTATGATGTAAATGGCATTTGAGCCATTTTCAGACATTATGTAAGATTGTGGGCACAATCAGTGTAGTACTGTGATCAGACTGATCATCAT